GTTCTTTAGAATTTTTGTTATTATTTTTAAAAAAACAGTGCTCGTTACAAAAGTAGAGCCTAAATATAATTATTTATTTAAAAAATATGATTCCATCGCTACATAAAAAACATGAGAACTCTTATGTTGCGATGAAATCAAATTTTAAATATATATATATATATATATATATATATATATATATATATATATATAGGGAAGATTTTATAGTTGTTTCAACTAGAGAAAAGTGTACATTTTAAAAATAAGAGAGAAACCGCAAACACTTTTTGTTGTAATGTGTTTTTTTTTTAAATATATACTTTAATATTCCATAATTTTGTAACACGTGTTTCGGATCTCGCGACCTTCTGCAGTCAAAGAGTGGATATTTTCGCATATTATTAAAATGAAATAATGTTTCTTGTAGGGACACAAATATCTTTTCTTGGACTGACGATGAGAACGTTCTTCTGTTTGAAGGGTAATAAAACGATTAAGATTAGTCCGAGAAAAGGTGAATTAGTGGAATCTTTACGTTAAGATCAGTAAAAACCTAACTCGGAATCCAAAATAAACAATGTAAAAGACTGATTCAAAGCTGATATAGTTGTCTTTGAGCGATGGGAATCAAAACGAGTCCTTATTTTCAATGCATCTGCTATTCATCTGAAACAATGTCTGCAATTTAATATTCCTGGTGCATTTCTACCATTTTCTCTACAAATGAAATCGATGATCTTCCTCATCAATCATTGCACATTCATACAGATTTTATGTCTCACGTTGGCTTAATATCTTGTTTGAAGCGATTTGATGCTAATTATACTCATTATCTACAAATTTCAACCTAGCGAATATCAACAGATTTTGTTTAGTGCCAATATGAAGTTCATTCCAAAATCAATGCGTCTTATTTCATCAACTTAACTCACGCACGAGCCAGGGGTGGTTTTTGTTGGCAGAAGAGTAGAACGTCTACCAAGAAACTATAATTATTTTTACCTTGTTACAAAAAGCATCTCAGTGGCAGTCTGGCAAAATGCTGCCTGGAATTAAAAGGCAAATGAAGGAGATCTGTGTCGCTGAATTGTTCCTTGAGAAAAATTCGAACCTAGTGATATAGATCGATCCTTGCTGAAACTTTATCGAGACCAAACATCGACGTGAGAACAGTTAGGCGTTTCTGCTCTGGTGACAAATGTGTGTGACAAGTCACTATCCGGGAGGTACTGCACATCTGACAACACAGGCAATGAAAAGACGACGCCATGATAAAATAGCTTTCAGAATACATTGGGAACTATGCAGGAATTATGGCTTCGACTGCGAAGAGAAGTGGTACGAACATTCACCACCATCGGTAGTCAAGAAATTTGAAGGTCATGTGGGATATGGTCCACTTGATTGACAAGCACTTGGAGAGCAATCGCCCTGAGAACACACTTATGTAAAAGAGCAGTCAGGAATGGATCCTGATAGATATAGCGGTATATTGGAATAAGAACTTTATGATGGCGGAACAGGGAAAAATACAGAGGTACCAAGACCTGGAGAGGAAAATATGATTGCCAGATCGATTCATTCATTTTATACCCCCTTGCAGGTTATTTAAACCTAGAAAATAGTTTAATATTCTAAGAGTTTTATTTTCTGGAGATAATGATTTTATGATACTATTCTTGCTAATTAAGAAGAAGAAAATCATACATTTCCCAAGGGTATTAACGGGTAAGTGAATATAATGAACAGAACTAGAATTAGCTCTCCGATTAACAATTCCGAGCCATTATCCATTACACTACCTGCTAATACAAGTTTACAGCATGTGATATACCTAAGCAGTTATCCATCTAGGTGTTGACCAGATTCAACGTTTCTTAACTACGGCGATCGGACGGGAAACAGTGTTTCAATGGGATATGGCTGTAAGCACAGGTTTGGCAAATCAAAGTAGTACACCGAACAGAACCTAAAGCTGTTTCTCTTCAGGTTGGCGCACTCTATTTCCCGATTTCACGGTAGCTAACATCATTGGCAAAACTGTTTGAAGAAAGCGTGTGCATCTAAGCTGCGGGATGGAGCATCATCACCCGGCCGAAACGTCTAAGAGTCGGAGAAGGTATCCCATCAAACTATAATAACAGCACTTGATCTAATCTCCACCACAAGGGAACTCATTTTTTTTATCGTAAGCAAGCGGAAAAAAGAGTTTTCAAATTGCAGATGCCGTTATTGTGACAGACGTTAGTGTGAATTAATGGAGAGGAAGATCTTTAAAAATTGCTAAAATATTTGGAGAGCTAAAACATATTTTGTCATATGAAGGCGGTGAATGCGCCCATCATCAATGAAGCGATTCTAACAACCCTCGGTTGATTGACTGTATTTTTTACGGTTTATCAAACTTTTGCTGGTTATTTAAAGCCAGAAAATATTTTTAGTTTTTAAGAATTCTTTGACAATAACAATGATTTACTGGTACAATTCCTACTAATTAACCCATGTATGGGGAGGTGAGTAGATTCATACATTTCCCTGGGGTACTTGCGAACTAGAATTTGAAACTCGGATCTCCGATTTCCAATTCTGAGCCTTTATTCATTACACCACCTGCACACCCAAGGTTACAGCACCTAGTATTCCCAAGCGATCACCCATATAGGCACTGACCAGGCTCGACGTTGCTTAACTTCAGTGTTCGTACGAGAACAGGTGTTTCGATGTGTTATTGCTGTAAGTCACTATATCAGTGGATTAACATGTTAGACGCGTTTAGAAACACACACACACAACTTATTTTAGTGGAACACCATTATAATATGACATTCGATGAGAACCGACTTCATTCTACGCGAAATTGTCTTCGAGATTAGCTGTTATATAGCAGGTGACTTAAATATTGGAAAGGTCGAAGTTCTTTCACGTGTATTGAGTTTTAAAATTCCTTACTTTTACTAGATTCTCCTAAACGTACGTGATGCCAAACTATCGGCACTAAAAGCGTAAGTGTTCAAAGACAATTAAACGAAATGCGCTTTTTACCTGTTTAATTAGAGAGACTTTATAAAAGTTTTTTCAATGGTGCTATTGGAGATTATCAACCCGACGTCAAAAATATCAAAAGAAAATCTCATCCTACTCTAGTCATCGAAATGACAATATTAGCCCTTTCGTTGCATGGAAACATTCGACATTCATTGACCGAACAGCCAGTCAACAGTCAGTTGAAATTTACAAAATCTTTCTATTAAAACAATTTTTCAGGAAAATAGGTTTCTCATGTCCATTAACTGTTATCGCTCTTTCTAGTATTGATGGATATTTCCTTCCTTATCCTTTTTTATAAGTTCCGTTGAACATAATTAAAAAAAAAAATAACAGGAGATTATACAACAATTAACAAAAAATTCCTATTTTGTCCTATATAAATATCTTTTTCCATTATTTTTTATTCTCTGGTTTAAAATTTACTTTATATATTCTTTCTGCGTGTATTCTTATAAAAGTTCTCTTTCTGCAAATAACATGTTTACGCTATTGATCAACTGATTGAAACTGAGGAATCACTAATTTTTTTTTATTCTAATCCATTGAGATCGTATTTATTGAGTTCCACCGAGTAATCTCCCTTAGTTTTGCTTGACGCCATTACTCGTGGCTTGCCAAAAAAATTCAATTAAAAACTACAGAAGATTCAATTGTAATTATATTAAAAGAGTCTTTCTATCTTGAACCCGGTGCATTTGCTTCTCATCTTATTTCGTTTTTCTCTTCGTAAACCAATTCATATCCTCCCGGGCTTCTTTCTGATTGGGGTTCTCCTTCCCTGACTAAATCTATTACTTCAGCTTCGAGCTTTTTTTAAAACTTGACAAAAGTAATTTGCTGAACTTCTTTTAAAGTAAGACTGTATAAACGCTTGGCCTCTCAGTAAACTGCATAAGTGAATCCATTGCGTGTTATGGAAATTGTCTCGACAAATACAGTAGGGAAATATTTGGCTTACTGAGATTGTATATGTATATCTATAGACGATGTATCTATACGAATTCAACAAAACGATACACAGCGAAAGCAATTCATAAGATAGGTCTAAATTTTAGGAAGTACTTATTACAAGAGATAGGAATATAGAAATAAATCATTGACTTTGGAAGAGGTACGCCTTGGTTAACAGCAGAGTCCGGGTGTCCACATTTTCTGAAATAAGAAAAGTATTACTTCCATGATCGGCTGTAGAGGTGAGCGTTTAAGTAAAGGAAATGGAAGAGTGTTTCTTTTTGAAAAGTTTATAACATAAACCTTTAAAGAGTATAAATGACGCTTAACAGCCCGAGCATTCTCGAATCTAAATAAAGAAAATGTTCCTTGATATTTTCTTTAATAAGACCCTTGAATACCCAAGTCGGTAGACGTTGAATGACACTGTTTAAAATAATAGTGTTATCTACTCAAACACATGTATCCAATAAATGTAACGTTTATAGTAATGAAAATAATGTCGGATTATAATTTTTTCCTTTAAAGAAATCCACCCCAAGCAATACGGGAGTGCCACTAATAGGCAAGCGGCTACAGAGAGTGTGAGTAAGAGAAAGGACTTGCTTTAGGGTAGGAGTTGAAGAATGGATGAAAAGAAGAAGGGAGGAAGATAAAAAAAAGAACGGGGATCAAAGCAATAGAAGATGTCGATTGACATTACATTTAAATTTTTGAACATTATAGTTATCAGGGAGGCAAGTAAGAGGAAGGAAGTTCTTATATCAGGAAGATAAAAGCCATTAATTTCTTATAATTTTCCGATTAAGCTCACTTTAATAAATACAACAAAGATACACAAACACACATACGCATATACATATATACATATGTGCTAATTACTTAAATTTTCGTATTTTCCAGTGATGTTCTATGTCTATTATTTCAACCTCATCCCACAGGAAGTGGTGATCTCCCTTTTTCCCTCCATAGGGATCAGCTAGGTCACAAAAATCAACTGATTCGACCAAGAATAGAAATGAATACAAAATGGGAACCAGAAATAAGGAGTGCTAGAGAAAAGCAATGAATAAAAATACAAAAATTGCAATATAAGCTCTGGTAAAAAAATGATATAATAATAACGAAAAAATACAACATGAGCACTAGTAAAAAACAGTTACTGAGACATTTGGCTTATAAGTCCCAGAAATTCATACGGATATGCCCTCAAGGACACATGATCCAGTGGATAAATACGTTGGCCTGGTCCAGCGACTAGACCCAAAGAGTTGTGAGTTCGATACCAGGTTACAGCAGTGGTGAACCAAAAAATCGGAGAGGTGAGTTAAAGGGAAAATAACTGAGACATCCGAAAGAGGCATGGCACGCGGAACTAGAACAATCTATCCCGATGGAAAAAATAAACAGTTTGGTTCGAAATTCCAATCACATGAATTAGTGAATATGGCTATAAAGATGAGGATGACAGACCGAATGACATAAATAATCATAATACATCATATCAGAGATATAGACAGATATTATATTTGATGTTTAAAATGATCGATTTTAAAAGTCGACAGAGCCGTATAATTTTCGTATTTTCCCTGCTATTATACATAGTACTTGTTTTAAACAAGTCGGACGCCAGATACGTGTAATATCAGTAAGGTATGAAGCTATATGAATGGTGATGGTAATATTAGCCGCTTCCCTATAAGGAAACATTTGGCATTCATTGACCGAACAGCCAGTACTGCTGTCGGTTGGAATTTATAAAATCTACCTCTTAAAACAATTTTTCTGGAAAATAGTCTCCTCAAATCCGGTAGCTGTTATCGCTCTTTTCAGTAGTGATGGGTGTTTCCTCCTTGACCTTTTGTTTGAAGTCGTATGGAACGTTGACATCTGAAATATGCAATTATTTTCTTTATGATCTACATGTGATACCCATTTTAGTTGTTGCTACTATTGATAATACTACAGTGATGTGTTTTTGTTACTGCGTAAAGTTTGCGGTTCTACAGCGCCCTTCCATAATGTTCACAGAAGGCTGGTCTTTGTGAATACCCAAGGCTTTACACGCTGAAAACCGTTTGTAACCATTGATCTCAGAAAACGGTTGAATATAGCTGATTGTTAAGATATTACTGAACGGGTTTGGCGTTAGTTCCATATAAAAGTCTCGATTTATCGAGGTTATTTTCCAGGTTAATGTTTTGGTTTTGTACCAATTTGTGGTTTTGGGTGAAACTACCTCGACTGCAAAGTATGATATATTCAATTTCCTTATCTTCTATGCTAAATTTGTTATTACTGTTTAATACTACCGAATAATAGAAAAAATATATTTTATTCTTTCCTATGCGATTGACAACTAAAAGAAAAGAAAGCAGGCAAAACAAATTCATTTTGAAGAAATTCAGATAATATTTTGTAATCATCGAACTCTAAGCTACGCATCAAAAGCTCACCTTTCCACGAACATTCGCATTCCATTAAGTTCTATTCGGACAACTTCGTCCCGAGAACAGTTACTCGATTGGATAGACTTCCGCGAGGATGCTTTCCTGATCACACCAATCGTAACCACTGGGATTAACCGTTATTCTTTTCCACATATCATCCTAAACTGCACCTCTTACTCTTACCGCTCATACAACCTCTTTCAGCCACCTCATCGTGGTGTAATGGTTAGCTCACTTGTGTCGCTAAATCAGTTATAACTGAAAAGTGAGTTCGATTCTCACTAGGTGGCCCATACTTTCGGCCTTGTGCCACATCTAAGCTATGTATAACCATACGACAACCTCCTTCAGTAACCAACCATCTTGGGTGACTCTTGGGCCTTGGGTATAGTAAAAATTGGTAAAAATATATGAACGTTATTCAAAGGTAGATTAAAGCTTGGGTAGCAGTATTATTTTGAAAATAATAATAAATTAATAATAAATAATAAATTAATCTCGAAATGATCTGACTTTTTTGGTTTGCAAGAGAAATGTCAGTTTTAAGCAAAGGAAACTGAAAAAGAATGGACCCAAGTCTTAATATACAGGAGGAAATAAGAAAAAAGGAAAAATCGTCCTAAATCCGTTCTATTACAGGTAATATTTGGCAATTTGCATTATCGTTAATTTTATTAGTTCAATATTTGTGCTGCAAATTTGCGATCAATTTCTAAGCGGGGTATCGATTTTAAGACTTCACTGGACATGGAAGACACAACATCAAACAGGATTCGCTCGGAAATCAATGTGTGCTGAAATTACATTAGCAACGATCAAAGATTTTCAGAAGAATTGGTTTTATTTTCGGTTACGATTAGATTTTACTCCGAAAGAACATTTCTGAAAGTAATTTGTATTCTTTTCAATTAAGGACATCAAATGCGCGTTACGTTACCACATTATTATTATTATTATTATTGTGTAGAAATTTTATTGCAGATCATGGGTCGTTTCAATGTTCGAAAATAATTTAGACTTCATGGACATTTCTCTCGTCGAAAAATCATTATTGTTTAAGAAAAAAGAAGCAATAAATTTTAATAATGGAAAAAGTGGACATTTAATAGTAATTTCGATTTTATCATTAGCAAAAATTAGATGGCAAAAAGAAAAGAAAAGTTTTATTTAAGAATAAATATTTTTAAAAAAATCTGGCGGTGAAGAGAAAGGCGCTTTAAAAGGCAGTAATAATTAAAACAAGTAAAAAAAAACAACAGAGAATTCATTAAAAAGTAAGTCGG